GTTTTAGTGGCTGCGGCAATAAAGATAACAATAGTTTAATTACTTGCATGAATGCATTGATTCCAGCGAGTAGGAATGCATACACGTAGTGCGTACTCCGCCCGCACGAAGTGCGTACTCTTGTACTGCCTATCGGGCAAGAGTACGCAAATGCAGGGTGTTAGAAAATTGCTTACGGTCACGCTTTAAATTGGACGTAGGCCGCTGTAGTCATGACAGTTTGTGGACAAATGATCAGGCTTTATCGATTCGGAATATACTGATCGTAGCCGTAAACCAAAACCGAACGGCGTGAGACGACAAAATGCATTAGGTGCGTACTCTTGTACGGTCCTCCCCTAACTTTCGAAGAAGCCAAGCTATGAACTAACTAATGGCACCATCGTGATCCTCTCGTCAGTCCGCATCGAATCATATATGTGCTGACCTCCAAACGTCAAGGTCAAAAGTTGACCTCAGGTCACGTGACCCCAAGGTCAACATTTATATCAGTCGATGCTCCTTGACGAGCTGAAAATAATGAGACCAACCGCGCGGCTGCATTTCGTTCCTGTAAGGAGCTATTAGCAAAAAACCTTTGGTGACCCTTGATGACGTCACATGACCTTACAGCTGCCCAAGAGCAAAAAAGCCTCAAGGTAGTCAAGGTTAATAGTATATGAACTATGAAGTCATTCATGGTATATTTGGCCATTCCGACGTGTTTTAGTGGAAAAACAGGGAGTTGATTTTTCCTCCATTGACTCATAATGGGGAGGTCAAGAAATTCACCCGACCTTAGGTTATCGATACAAAAATTCTGAGATTAACATATTGTAGCTATCAATGACTTTATTACATCCTACGACTTTCAAAGGCCTCCGTCATCTATGTACTGTAGCTCTGACACAGTGACAAAGTTGCAAAAAAGTGATTTGAGGTTGGGCCATTCGAAGCACGGGCGTAGGAACGTCATGAAAAGTGGGTGGGCCACCCTGTCAAGGGGCCTCCTTTTCCAGGGGGCCCCCTATTTTCAGGGGCCTCCAACTTTTGCCTCATCCTGCTGGCTGCTTTCAAGTATGACCTCCAAATCTAGCTTCTGAGATCGGGCAGATGTACCCAGGGGCGTAACCGCTAAAACGAACAGTGCGGAAAGTCCGCACCATTTTTAAAACTTCTTCCCCCTCCGATTTTTTTAGAATCTATTTGCCGCAAACGGCGCATGACCCCTGAAAACCCTTACACAAATGTCTTCCTCGTTTCCCAGGTGCCCCATTAGCTTCATAGGCGCCCTCTTTGGCATATAAGCGCCCTATGTGCCTAATATAGTCATCAGAGACATCCCTATATGTCCCACAGTCGCCCCGTTGTCGCATACAATGTGCGCTTATCATAGGCGTCTCTCTTTTATGGACACTTGAAGGCGCCTCTCTTTGCCATGCCGGCGCCCCTGTTTCTTATGAATGCACCCCCATGGCATTGATCAATTGCAATTTGCAGACCTCTATTGCATGTGGACGCCCATATATGTAGGCCTCAGAGGCGCCCCTCTTTCGCATTGAGGCGCCCCTATGGGCTTCATAGGCGCCCCTCTATTGCACGTAGGTGCCCTACTGTCTCAGAACCGCTCCCCTTTGGCATGCAGACGCCCATCTTTCGAACGGAGGAGCCGCTGTGGTTCTTAGAGACGGCATGGTGCTCCCAGACGCAGATGAGGCTCTCGGAGTCGACAGTGTGGGACCTTCAGTCGCTGATGGGTGCCCGCCAGATGTGGACCCTCGGAGACGCCGGTATGGGGCCCTCAGAGATGCCGGTATGTGGCCCTTAGAGACACCGGTGTGGAACCCTCAGATACTTCAGTGTGAAGCCCTTACAATTGCTAGTGTGGAGCTATGAATGCGCTGGCTTAAATCCCTCAGAGGCCGGTACATGGACATTAGAGCTCAGTGAGAGTTTGTGTGGTGCCTTCAGTGGCCTTGTGGAGCCGTTAGACATGCAACATGGTGCTCTCAGGAACCGGTGAGTCCTCAGAGTCACCGGTGTGGGGCCTTCAGAGCTCCGAGATACTGGTGTGGGGCCCTCAGAGGTGTCGGTGTGGGTCCTTCAGATGTACATATAGAGCCTTGAGATGCACAGGTGTGGTGGCCCACAGAGGCGCCGGTGTGGGGCCCCCAGAGCCACCGATATAGGGCCCTAAGAGACACTAGTATGACCCTCAAAGGCGCCGCTGTGTGGCGCTCATAAACACTGGTGTGGAGCCATCACAGGCGGGTGGAGCCGTTAGAGGCCGGAAAGGGCCCTTAGATGCCTACAAGGAGCCTTCAGAAGCCGGCGTGGCACCCTTATGGGGATAAGCGTGTCTACTTAGGAGCCCTTGAGGTGCTCTCATGAGCTCTGTGGGGCCCTACCGAGCCGAAATATGGCCACGGCCAGTTGCCGCCGCATGGCTCTTCGGACTATCATTCTCAGGGGCCTCATCTGCCTAGTTTGAATAGAAGGGCCTCTCAGACCATCAGTCTCATGGGCCTCCTCTGGCTAGTATAAATAGAAGGGCCTGTTAGACCATCAATCCTAGGGGCCTCTTCTGGTTAGTATAAATAGAAGAGCCTCTCAGACCATTAATCTCAAGGGGCCCATGTGGACAGTATAAATAAAAGGGCCTCTCAGACCATTAGTCCCGGGGGCCTCCCTAGAAAAGTGTAAATGTGGATAGAGGGCCCCCTCAGATTCATTACGAGTGGACCTCTCTGACTATCAGTCTCAGGGGCCTCTTGTGGCCAGTATGCATATAAGAGCCTCTCAGACCATCGGTCTCAGGGGCCTCTTCTGACTAGTGTGGATAGAGGGCCCTCCCAGACCACCGGTTTCAGGGGCCTCCAGTGGCCAGTTATATGAACAGAAGGGCCTCACAGCCATCAGCCTCGGGGGCCTCTTCTGACTGGTGTGAATATGAGGGCCTCTCATACCATCAGTCTCAGGGGCCTCCTCTGCCTAGTGTGAACATAAGGGCTTCCCAGACCATCAGTCTCAGTGGACTCTTCTGACTGGTGCCGGATTGAGGGACCTCCCAGACCGAACGTTTTGGGGGTCTCCTGTGGCCAGTATGAATAGAAGGGCCTCTCAGTCCATCAGTATCATGGGCCTCTTCTGCCTGGTGTGATTTTAAGGGCCTCTCAGGTCATCAGTCTCAGGGGCCTCCTCTGACTACAGTGTAGATGGATAGGCCTCCCAGACCATCAGTCTCAGGGGCCTCTTCTGACTATTGAGGATAGAGTGGCCTCCTCTGACTAGTGAGGGTAGGGGGCCTCGGCTAGACCGCCAGTGTCAGGGGCTTATTCTAACTAGTGTGGATGGAGGGGCCTCCCAGACCAGTGTGGATATTGGGGCCCCCTCAGATCCACTAGGGCCTCTCAGGCCATCAGTCTCAGGGGCTTCGACTGATAAGTATGAACAGAGGGCCTCCTTGGATCCATCGCGGCCCCTTGGAGTCCGTGCGTGGGGATTCGTGGAACTTATTTTTACCGAGTTTGTTTATTCTGGAAAGTGACGAGTCGACGTCCTCTCAAATCGAGACGAGGGACCTCGAGTAAAAAGTGGGTGGGCCAAAACACATGGTTGGCCCCCCCACCTCGAAAAGTGGGTGGGCACTTGCCCACCTGGCCCCCCCTGTTCCTACGCCTATGATTCGAAGTGCCCTGGTGACCTGGCCTTGAAAGGTAGGAAGGTTCAATCTTGCACACAATGTGTAAAGTTGATAGTGAAAAGTCATGCCAAATTTCGCGGCGCTATGCACGGCACTTTTTCCGCTATTAACGAAAAACCTTCGGGGGGGCCGTTAACCGCCCCCCCCCCCGTCCCGCGCTGGGCCGGTGCTTCACGACTTCCGCGCCGGGCCGGGGTGTGTGTGTGTGTCTGAACACCCCCCCCCCCCCCCGTTTAACTCGGCTCCTGGGCTACGTAGCGACACGTGGTAAGCAGCATTCGAAAGACCGTAAAAAATAATGACGGAAACACTCGATCATTTTTTGGTTCAGGTCAAAGGTCAGGTCGCCAGAGGTCATTAAAGGTCAAATGTAGGCCATTTCAACAGTTTTGGAAACTGCCAACGGCTAACTCGGGAACTAATAGAGCTACAGCGCCGCGAAAAAGCGCATTCGATAGCCCTTTTACAGACCTTTCTGAGTGCTGTTGTCAGATTTGACCTAAGGTCAATGGTTTAACCTCCAGAGAGCAAAAAACGGTAAAAATAGCCGCGTTTTCATAAAAACAGCTTTTCAGTCATAACAATTTTGATTCAAGCAAGCCATGGCATTACTTTTGCCAGCATCGTGTTCCTCTCGTCGAGACGCGTCGAATGAACTATTCGCTGACCTTGAAAGGTTATTTTGAAAATTTGACCATAGGTTAAGGTCATGCCCTGACCGGAAAGGGTCATGTTGCATATCGGTCGATCCGTATCGTCAAGCTGAATACATCTGACGTGTTTTCATCGCTCTAGCACGTCTCTATCAAAAGTTATAGCCAAAAAAACTGCTGGTGACCGTTCTTGACCTGAGATGACCTCAGGGGCACACAGAGGGGTCACAGGTGCATTTTTGCGATTCAGTGTGTCATGTTTACCCATAAACCGATGCAAGAGAGGGTTTTGAACACCATTCGTCCACAAGAGGCGCATTTCAATCTTCTCCCAATTGACTTATAATTTGTAGAGGTCGCAAAATTGACCTGACCTTAGGTCATCTATATTAAAATTCCGAGATAACCATTTTGTACATAATGTTACTCTCATCAATCGCTGAAAGTTTCAAGGCGACCGTTCAGCCGCTGTAGCTCTGATGAGGATTGAAACTTATTTTCTGAGGTGAGGTCACTTCACGTGACCTGGTGATCTGACCTTGAAAGCCCTGGGTCTGATATTTTCACAACATGTGCGAAAACGATGCATGAACAGGTGTGTCAAAAACGGCGGCGCAACACCCTCCCCCCCCCCCCCCGGCGCGGACCGAGCTGCGGTGACCTACCGAGGTGCTGGCCGGCCTGCAGGATGGCCTCGTACATGTGGGCCGTCTTCTGCCGGTCGTGGTACAGCTCCCAGCCCAGCTCTCCGGTGTAGGAGATCCTCAGAGCCAGTGTGTCCACTCCGGCGATATCCAGCTGCTCGACACAAACGCCATAGAAATAAACACTAGAACAGACGTCTGCCTGCATGTAAAAAAAAACATTGGCTGGATCACACAGGTAGTAAAAAACAGTGGCTGGATCTACACAGGTAGTATCAATATCGTTCTAATATAAGTTGATATTATAAATAGATGGATACCGTACACTTTGGGTAGACCAAGACTACACCTTTTTGCGTTGTTCGATGGCCAATCGTCATAACCATTTCGGCATCAGTTTGGACAAGCATCATTCAGAATAACCCATCGGCGATGTGCATCACTGTTTGACGGTCGGCAAAACAGGCTGGACTCCATTTAACCATTCTGCATAACTCTTTGTCATTGAGCACAATGTTCGTCATAGGCAAAACACTTTGTCAGATTGTCATAATGCTTCGACATTTCACAAAATGTTTTAGTGATGATGAAATAGCCTTTGCTCATACTTAATCGAAAAATGACGAAAAAAACAAAATATATATAAAGACACTGATATTTCGCCCTTGTGGCTTCTTCAGAGTGAACATTTAAAACATTCATATTTGAAGCAGAGATGGCGAACGTGCGGATAACATTCTTTGCACCACCGATCACAAGTTGTTGCTACCATAAATAACAATAATCCAATTTTAACACTTTACCCTAAGTACTGATCCTAAATACATATAAGTCAATGATACCTAAAATAAAAAAAAAAAAAAAAAGGCATAATTTACGATCACGATCTTCTCCCCAGACTGGCAGCATAGGTATACAGAAATAAAATGACGCATGTTGGCCTAAATAAGAACACACACGATCCCTACACAATTACACATTTGACACCGGTACCGAAATTTAGTAATTACAAGTAATTGGGTCCTACCCTCGTACTCAAATGTATCAACACATCACACCGAATACATTACATGCGTGTAACATGTACATACATAATACACATCGATCGATGGCTGACAAAACGTAATCGTTTAGTGGAGCAGTGGCCACGTGTCGATCTGACCGTTCAGAGAGGGCTGCCTATCCCGGATAGCCTGAGCCTCGGCTATCTTCCGGTCAGCTGCGTCTTTGCATCTGCGAAGAATGGTGACAGATAGCCGAGGCTCTGACTCATTCGGATGGCTCTCCCTCATATGTTCTCCAAAGGGAGTCTGCCTCGTACGATTGGTGCCGTCTCTAAAATGTTCATCGAACCTGTATCTGACACAGCGCTTTGTTTCTCCAATGTATGTCTGAGGAGGCCCGTCGGCAGCTGCGCACATCATACATGTGATCTGATAGACGACATTTTTCGTTGTGCATCGCCCATGTAGTCCATTGTTACCCGTACGGCAGAACTGCTTCCCTGCGCGACAGGGTGGGGGCTCTAAAGCCGAATGTACCAGGCGTTTGGCGAGGGTGTTGCCATTTTTCCACGATGCTGTTAAGCTGGGATTAACAGATTTCAGGGCCGCATCTACTTTCCGGGTCAGGCTGTCACTGATGAAAGGCAGTGACACATATATCCTATCCCTACGTTTGGGATGGGCTCCTGTGTGACTACGGTCACTTGTGCGGTTAGCTGTCGGATACTTTTGTCTGTTGTATTGTTTCAGAGCCTGACGCGCTATCCCGTGCAGCCAGCGTGGAGGGTAGCCGTTGGACACGAACAAGTCAAATATCATGTCAGTGCTGCGCTTGGCGCTCTGTGGGTCTGACGAAACCTTCAGGGCTCGTAGAAATTGGGACTTAGCGACCGACTTTTTAGTTTTGAACGGCTGGGCCGAGTCAAAAGGAAGGATGATGGATGCAGCTTCAGGTTTGATATGAAGCTGTGTTTTGTAGTGCCCGCTCTGGTGCACGCTGATCTGCGTGTCTAAAAATGCTATTTGTCCCCGAGGACTGGCTGTGTCGGAACGTTCGATGGTGAATTTGATCGTGGGGTGAACCGAGTTGACATATTCGAAGTAAGCTGAGAGCTCACATTTCACAAAATGGTTAGTCGATGTGCAAAATTCATCGGTACTGTGCGTAAACAATCTATATTATGATTTATAAGATGTCTGTACGTGTGTCATGCCTTATGTGTCTTATTGCGCCTGAAAGGCGCCGCGTAGCGACGTGAAATTTGGCATGCCGAATCGGTGGGTTGATGTCACCTCTGTATTAAAATTTGGGACGGATTGGCCCAGGGGTGCGCCGTCAGCACGCGCTCGCGTGCGCCATAGGGTTAACACAGGAAACGGTCAAATCGAAGATCGGGCGAAAACCGGCCTGCGGCGCCCACTTCCCGGCTGTATAAGTCGGCAACGGAGAGTCGCAGCGACACGGGGTTGTCACCACTGGATAGAGGAGAGATGGAACTAGCGTATCGATATGGTTTCATAGCATAGCTTGCGCCACGTGCAAGACAGCACCCCCAGTTGCGAAAAAATGACCGATTTCGTGCATTGTGACGGGAAAATCGATGCCGCTGGAAAACGGTTTGACGGAATGAAATCGGTGTTGTACCATTTTGCAGACAAATGTATGTGTAATCAGAGAATAGCAAACAAAAGCTGATGATACGTACCATTTCCTTAATAATATAAAATTAGTTTGAAAATTTGATTCGCGCGGAGCGCGATGTCCTTTACAACATCAAAACGTATTGAAAACGCTGACCAATCGCTATGAAACCTACATATTCGGAAAGAGCATTCTTTTCTGACCAATATCCACCCAAAATATTATCGAAAAGTCAATAAACTTTTGTGAAAATGACTCAAACATACGACCGTGTTTTGTTAACGTTACAGGTATTTTTCGATAAAATCCGATCGATGGCTTATGGCCGGCAAGTCATTCAACTTTTGGCAATAGCTATCAAAGCATGGGCTGCAATGCACCGCCCGCAAAGGGGAATTCCAAACACTGAAAATAAGCGCTCACCAGTAAACAGCACATTTTTGTACTAGGAATAACTCAGCTACTACTGGGCCGATTGCGCTGAAACTTGGACTGTGGGTGGAGGGGGCACTCATCTGGCGATGCATGGTCATGTGTGACAGGTAGGGTGGATCGATTGCACGTGCGCACGTGAGGGGTCCACCTATACATCTCAAGAACGGCTGGGCCGATTTCGCTCAAATTTTGTACACCGTTAGGAACAATTTAGAGGGGTGGCTGGCACAAGTCATCTAGAGTCTCAGTTAGCGCGTGCGCACGTGCAGCGGGCCGCTTTTATATCTCAAGAACGGCTGGGCCGATTGCGCTCAAATTTGGTACATTACTTTAATCGAGTATGAGAAGGGTAACGACGTGTAGGTTATGAGTAAGATAGGGTATGGGTAGGTTAGGGTAGGGTAGGGTGTGTTTGAGCTCGATAAAGGCAAACCATGAGAAAGGCTCTAACAACCCGCAACCAGCACCAGCATAACATGCCTTTCAAACAAATATCCAACTTCGACAAAATAAGACAAATAAAAATCATGAGTTCCCACACCCAAATTAATGCCCCATCAAATGCATCTATCAAAACGCACAGTTATAGCGCAAAACATGCCATCTAGTGACTGTTTATTTAAAACTTTCGTCAATGATCAAAATGTCAATGATGTAGTGCTTATCTAGCCATATTCAATGTTTAACGTTATTCACGCATTCAGGGATGAGGCTTATGACAGTTCCAGCGCAATTTGCAACCAATTAACCATTGAATTCCGAAAAGGCAGTTATACCATAGCTACGAGGAGACTGCCGGCGCCATACCGAGTAGGCATGTAGATTCTTGAGCGTCGGACTCCTAAACGCTTCGATACAAACCACGAAGTCGGCCGTCATTATCGCGTCACTGCCCGTGCGATGTCATGGGACAACGCCTCGGGCGGCCGCGCCGGTCGGACTCGCGAGGGAATGGCTGACAGATGGCAAGCCGGGCCCTGCCGGCCGGACACCTTGGTTTTTGGGGCGGGGCTGACTTATCCAGCCTGTTGCCTGTTCCTTGGTGTTTGAGGCGGGGTCAGCTTATCCAGCCTGTTGCTCTGTTGCCTGTCCATTTTTCAATCAGCCGATAACATGTCAGCTACGTCCATCTACATTGTACCTATGGCGCTCATGAACGCTACCGATTTTTATGTGGATCGATGGTCTACGAGTTTCGCCACCTATGCCTCGCATTGCACTGTATAAACGCGGTCATATTTATACTTCTCTGTAAAGGGGCGATCTGTTTTTAGTTTTGTTAGTTTTGTTAGTTTTGTTAGTTTTGTAGTTATGCTGAAGGTTTTGCCGGAATGCCTCTCACTGGCGCCACCTATGTGCTGATCGGACGAATGGGTTTTGCTGATTGGCCATCGAACAACGCAAAAAGGTGTACTAGCCGCACCATCTGAACATACATTGCATAGGGGAAGCCGGGGTAACCCCGGGCGCGGGGGAAGCCCGGCCACCCCGTTTCCGGCTAAATTATTCATAATAAATCCTCTTCGGGCCGTTTGGAAGGCGGCCGGACCGTCCCAACAGGGCAATCTGGTCCCACGGGGACAGTCTCGCTTCCGCAGACCGCATCGACTGTGACCAGTTGGTCTGGCAGTCCCCGGGAGACGGTCAAGACACACTGGTCTACTGCATGAGCCTTTCGCTAGGGTAAACGCAGTAAAAAGCAGTTTCATTGCACGTCTCTCTCGTTCATGCAATCTGCTGCTACAGCACGTGCAAGCCGCAGATATTTTCATGGCAGCTCATTCGGACGCGATGCCTGGGAGTACTCCAACACTCTCAGTCCCTACAACGTCTGAGTGTTGTCTCTGGTGTTTGTGCGATCACTTTATTATCTGTTTGCTTACTGTACGTTTTGTTTTAGTTTTTGTGTTTTTGTGTTGTTATTTGTATGTGTCATACTGAACTGACTGGAGCCGTAAATGGGCGTTTGTCTGTGGCTACCTGGATAATTAATAAACAAATAAACAGATCACTGTAGCTGGCTCGCACAATCCAATTACTACACCAGAACATAGTCATGTCATAGCTTTGCAAGGGCCTTTTCAGACCGAAAGAGTTGGCTTCCGACAAAACAGACAATTTTTCTCAAGTAATGCATTTCATCAAGCACCACATGTTTTCAGAGTGTTTATTATGGGTTCCGTCCCATAAAAGCGTAGTTCAATTTTCTCCCACTGACTTGAGGGATCTCAAAATTGGCCCGGCCTTGCTGTCAACGATTTCAAACTTGCTAAGTATACGTTGTAAATACATATACTGATTTCGATAGACTGAATATTACATAGACTGAATATCGAATACATACAGGGCAGTGGCGGCGCCACGAATTTTCGCCAGTGGGGGCAAGCTTGAGGTGACCCGACTGTTGTCTGATACGCCGAACTGCAAAATCCATGAGCACCTTCCCCCTAGTTGTTGCCATTCAAAATTATTATGGTTTCAGGTTTCATGCATACATACATATTGAGCTTAACCATTAACCCTCGCTGGCCCGGAAGGGGGGGGGGGCGTTTTTCGCCTCCCCTGGCGAATGTTTGCGATACCTCACGAACGCGTTGGGATAGAAAGACGAAACTTGCTGTACCTTATCCCCCATTAATTTGACATCTTTTGAAAGCAAAAAAATTGGACCTAGCCTCCTTGACAACGTCACAAGGTCGATTTTGCTAGATCCCTGCACGGCAAACGTCGGCGTCACAGACGTGTACGTGAGGGTGAGGTCAACATAAAACTTGACCTTTTCCAAACAATATACATATATGTCATTCGACGCATCTCGACGAAACGAATGCGAGGGTACCTCTGCCGTAGCTCTAGGACCATTTTTGTTGAAGTTAGGTATTTCATATTTGCGAAAAACAAACTAAAGCCCCAGCTCAGGGTCGTTGACCTGACCTCTGACCTCAGGTCACCAAAGCTTCAACCAGCTGCCAGAGAAAGAGTTTTAGAGCTAGAGTCAATTGTTACGAGCACGGTTGTGTAGCATTTTACCTAGAAAAAGAAATACTTAAGTAACTTTGGTGACCCGAGGTCAGAGGTCAGGTCAACGACCCTAAGCTGGGGCTTAAGTTTTTTTTCGCAAATAACTTCAACAAAAATGGTCCTAGAGCTATACGGCAGTGGTACAGGTCTCGCGGGTTTTAGCGGTAGGTTTTGCACATTAAAAATTTAGTGTTTTTAGGCTATATCTTCGTCGTCTTAGGCTTTTAAGTGTTGACAATGCGATCGACTTGTTGGGTAACAAGCCGGCCATGATCGTGTAAAATGGCTTCATCGTAGTTCGATTAGTTTCTGAGATATAACCGGAAATGCAAAAGTGCAATAACCTACCGCTTAATCTCGCGAGAGCCGTACCTTCGCATTCGTCTCGTCGAGATGCGCCAAATTGCATATATAATGCATATACACACCTATCACATTTTGTCATACCTCCCTGACCTCAGTCTCAGGCTAAGGGTTCCCAAAAGAGGGTGATCTCTATTCTCTTCTCCGGCCGACTTTTGACAAACTGATTCTCAACCTCCTCGAGGTCAAGCTCGAGGACAGCCTTCTGGTGAATGAAAATGAGTAGGGGAATGAGTGGGAGTAGGAGATATGCGATAGGCGGTCCGAGAACGAACGTTCTGCTGATGCACTTGATACGGGGATCGTGAAAAACAGACGTACTATTATAATCGCCTATCATGAATGTTGCACCGGTCTTCTGTTCCCTTTTCAACATCAGCCAAATTTTGTGGGGGCAAAAACATAGTCTTGCCCCCATGGCCTCATGCCAGTGGGGGCAGTTTGCCCCCACTGCCCCCACGGTGACGCCGCCCTTGATACAGGGTCTTTCATAATAAATGTTATTTTTAAAATAGCCATAGCTCAGGTTTGTTTGTTTATTGAGGCTTTAGGGCGCACCGACAGCAAAGGTCATTTTGCGCCCATAACGTCGCACCCATAGCTCAGGTGATATACATCACAAAGTGATCCATAGCTCAGGTGATATCATCTCAAAGTTATATTGTCAATACCCGAATGAAATAACAACTTTTTTATTTTTTCATGGTTTAGCAGGGTTCGCACTTCACAAAATGTGGAACGCTTCAAAATTTCGGGTGGTGCGTTCCTCTAACTTGCTTTCCTTTGAAAAACTTTGCGTTCCTGCGTTTTTGCGTTCCTAAAAAGGCGGTGCGTACGTACTTACGCAAGAACGCAGGAACGCACTAAAGGAACGCACTTGCCCAGCTCTGTATGCCCGACGTTTTTTTTTTTCTTTTGTGCAGAAAACACAACCACCCTTGGTGAATATCGAACAACCATCCATTCAAGTGCTGGACCGAGACTCTAACCACTCGGCTACGGCGACTTGGTGTCCGTCCGCGAGTTCAGTTTGCACTGTAAGTTTCAAGTCAAACCATAGCCCCAATGGATGTATTCTTGTCCCAGATGGCAGATGGTAATGACGTCACACAAGAGATGGCGCTAGTTGGTTGGCCGATTCGTGGCATGCAGTTGGCGAATACGCGCCCCGGTCTACCCTATTTTAGTTTTTCATAGGTAATGCGCAATACACGGCAGTAAAATACCAAAATAGTGCAGTAAAATAGCATTGGCGACGATCAAATAACATGTGCGCGATATGTAAACGTCTGCAACAATTGCTGTCATATTCCTACCAAATCCGTGGCGTCACTGCGGCGCCCTTTTTTCCTTGAGTGAGTAGTGATGTATGTAATATAGGGGCTCGGCACCTACCTGTCGGGCGCTGAGGAACGGGAACCGGCCGACGTCCTGTGTGGTGAGCTGCTGCAGCAGCTGCCGGCTGCGCGGACCGGCCACGCTCAGCACGCCCAGCTCCTCCGTGGCGTTCCGCAGCTCCACCTGCAGGCCCCTCTCACGAGCCACGTACTGCAGCCACCTGCACAAACAGTATGTATGTACATACTTACACATGAGCCATGTCCGGAGGCTGGGCCCAGGGCACACTGCACACGTCTAGGGGTGTCGCCACGGATTTTTTAGTAGGGGGTGGGGGTCGGGTTGCTGGTCTTCGCCTTGACGGGTAGGGGTGTTTTTGGACACGCACCCGTTTTTTCGTGTGGGAAACCTCACGCAGGGCCACGAAAGCAGCGGTATAACTTATTGTAAATTAAATTTGCATTGTAGATAGATAGATAATGTATTAGGATCCTCCACAAAGTGGATTTTATGGTATCCACGTCAATACATAAATGCAAAACACTTTTGACAGACATTGCACAGACAAACCAACGCCAGACACCTATCTATCAAACATACAATGTTAAAATTGAACAGTAGTGCTAAACTGTGGCTACTCTAAAAATGAACACCCTATAAAAGTGGAAATATAGAAGGCAATGAAACAAGTGCATGACATCAGCATACAAGCTGATGGTAAAATATATAAATGTCTACAAAATAGATAGAAATCCTTAAAGAAAATAAGAACCACTAAAATGCATACATGTAGGTAGATACTATATAGATAAAAAATAAAAGGCACGAGGACAGCCCTATCACTTCAGAACACTGTTCCATGCAGCAACTGCTCTAAAAAGAAAACTGCGTCGCGCCATCTCTGTTTTGACGCGCGGCAACTGCAGCTGGCCACTCGCTGCTGCTCGGGTACTCTGGCCGGATATCTCAGAGCGATGCACGAGCTTCGCTCTCAGGATCTCCGATGCGTCTGACGCAGTGAGTAGTCGTTTTACAATCGAGATATCATGATCCTTCAGCATATCATCCAGCTTTCCCCATCCGAGCTGCTGCAGCACCGGTGTAAGATGTTCGCGGCGGCCCAGTCCAGTTACAATCCTAGCACTGAAGTTCACAGCCTTCTGGATCCGCTTCTTCTGCTCTACCGTGCAGCTACCCCAAACACTGATACAATAGCGCACATGTGGAAGGACTAGCGCTTCAACGAGCAGGCGCTTGGTATCCTCTGGTAGTCGGTGACGCATCCTGGCCAGGCCTATCAACACAGCGTAGCAGCGCTGCACAGCTGCTGATACATGTTTTTCCCACGTCAGATGCCGATCAATGATGACGCCCAGAACCTTGACACTTTGAGCTGGGAGAATCGTATCTGTTCCAAATTTAACTGAGAAATTTTCCTCAAAGATTTTCCGCTTCGATTTAATAATAACCATTTCCGTTTTGGATGGATTTATCCTCAGTCTGTTCTGAGTAAACCACTTAAATGCAGTGGAGAGGTTACGTTCGACTCGATTTTTAAGAATGTCACTGTTTGAAGGCAGTTCTGTGTCCAGGAATTGGGCGTCATCTGCGTACAAAATCAATTGTGAATAAAATAAATTGCCGGTCCCGTAGCTCAGTTGGTTAGAGCGTTGGACTCCGCGTGGTGAGAGCACGCGTTCCCGGTTATGACAGTCCGGGTTCGAAGCGCGACGGGCGCTCGACATTTATGGGCCTCCTGACAGGTATGGTTGCGGTTGGTGGCAGGCCGTAGCCAGGCGAAGTCAGTGAGGGGACCGGCCGTGCGCGGCTTTGAGCGCACGTTAACACGCGCACTGCAGGGGGGGGGTTGTTTTCAACCCCCCCTGTGGTTTTTCGCAAATTGCGAGAAAACGGCGGCGCGTAGCGCCGCCAAATTTTGCATACCTGTTCTCACAACTTTTGCACACCTTGAGTAAAAATTTTGACCCCAGGTGACCTATGGTCAGGTCACCAGGTCAGGTCAAGTGACCCTACCTCGAAACGTAAATTTCGAAGTTTGCAATCCCACCAAGCCCACAGTTGTTGAGATATGATCTTGAAACTCACAGGAAATAGTAAAGTCATCACGAGCTACAACTTGTATATCTCGGAATTTTTATATCGATGACCTAAGGTCAGGTCATTTTTGCGACCGGCCCATTATAAGTCAATGGGAGAAATTTCAACTTACTCTGAATGCCATCCTATGACTTCAATACGCTCAGGATCATAGTATTACAGGTCCCTGTTGGTGATTTCACCGAAACATATCACTTATGACCTTTGGAAGGTGATCTCCAGGTCATCTTAGGTCACCTGAGGTCACCAGCGGTTTTTCTTCAATAACTTGAGATTGAGTAGAGATAGAGACTCCGTTCGACGTTTATCGTGTTTTTCTCGTCAATGCGGATCGAATGATATGCAACATGACCTATTTCGGTCAGGTCATGACCTTGACCTGAGGTCAAATTTTCAACTTGACCTTTCGAGGTCATATTATATATCATTCGATGCGCCTTGACGAGCTAAGAACGATGGCGTTCGAATCGATCCTCTGTCTTGTGTGCAAGACAAGTTATTCAAGAAAAACTACCGCGAAATTCCTGTTGTGAAAATCGTAACATTTTGTCTTCGGTGACCTCTGGTGACCTCGTTTTTGACCTGACCCAAAAATGATCTTAGTATTTCTTGTCGATCTCATCTTAACCTATCCAACGCCGTTTACCGCTTGTCGCTACGTTGCGCCGTTTTCGAGATCTCAGGGGGGGTTGTTTTCACCCCCCCCCCCTGCAGTTCGTGTTCGGCTCAGACCCGCTGCAGTGCGCGTGTTAAACTTTGGACTCTAAATTCTGCCATAGAATCGGAATTGCGCGATCGGAGGGTTGAGGGCAGGGTCATCGCAACAAGCTTCGCTTAGCGGTGGCTCTGTCCTTGTGAATCCTTCCCATCAAAAGGTTCGGACTAAATTTATTAAAAAAAAAACAATAATCACATGTCACCTAAGGTCAGGTCACCGTGGCATGTCAAGTTCAATAACTATGCCTCTTAGAATTCCTATCTTGTCATTCCGACAGATTATCTCCTAAAAGTTTGAAAATTAGTATGATGCTTGGAGACAGGTTACACAGCACATCGGGTGGACGCGTCCACCCAATGTCCTGTGTAACCCGTCTATATGTTACAGGCAATGTGTGGAATCAGGCATTCTACATATATCCCTGACTGCATAGGCATTCTATAGAACCAGTATAACGCCTTTTGGGGCGACTAACGGAGCGAGCGAGAGGGTGAGCCTTGCACGTGCGAAATTTCGAGGGGGTACCTCCAACTGACTTGGGCACGGCACCCTACTAACCGGTCTCTAGCGATGTGCCAAATTTGAGCACAATCGGCCCAGCCGTTCTCGAGATCTGGAAACGACCCCTGCACGTGCGCACGTGCAGCAGCACCCCAATTCTGGCACATGGATATGCAGTGCCTAGTGGGTGCCTATACCTATGTGTACATGTCAACTTTCAGCGCAATCGGCCCAGTGGTTACCGAGATATTGCCATTGTTACAAAGCTGACACCTCTTCGTTTTGCACGTGGCACGTGCATAAGGGGTCACCCACATGCATCGGGAATAGTCCAATGCTTGGTAGAAGGAATGAAGCTACCCTACAAAAATTACCGCATGTAAATCGGTCAAGTGGTTGCTGAGATATAAGCCTCGCAAAAGCGTCCGCACGGCCGGCCGGCCGCTCATACTCAGAAATATCCGTTAATCTAAGACTTTTTTATACGCTCGCTTCGCTCGCTCCGTAATGACTGGCTTAACCCGCGCCCGGCTGAGGGTCCTGGATTTCCACGCCCTGCTGGGGGGGGGGGGGGTGTTTGAACACCCCCCCCCCTTGTAACTCGGCTCCTGGGCCACGTAGCGATACGCGGAAGGCGGCGTTCGAAAGAGCGTAAAAAATAATGACGAAATCACTTCGGTCAATGTTTTGGTCAGGTCAAAGGTCAGGTCACCAGAGGCCATTGAAGGCAAAATTTCGCCGATTTCCAGGTCGAATGTCAAAAATTTCCAAGAAGCCAACGCATAACTCGGGAACCAATAGAGCTACAGCCGCGAAAAAGCGCATTCGATAGCCCTATTAACGCCATTTCTGAGTAATTCTCTCAGATTTGACCTAACGTCAACGGTTTTGCCTGCAGGGGGCAAAAACTGCAAAAATAGCCGATTTTTTCGGAAACAGTTTTTCTGCTATAACTTTTGACCCAAGCCTTGTGCGAGCTTACTTTTACCGGCATCGTGTTCCTCTCGTCAAGACGCATCGAATGAACTATAACTTGACCTTGAAAGGTCAACTTGAAAATGTGACCTCAGGTCAAGGTCATGACCTGACCGGAAAGGGTCATGTTGCATATCAGTCGATCCGTATCGTCGAGCTGAACACATCTAAGGCGTTTTCATCGCTCTAGCATGCCTCTATCAAAAGTTATTTGCGAAAAACTGTTAGATACCATTCGTGACCTAAGATGACCTCAGGGCATAAACAAGGGTCACGGACACCATTTTTCTGTTCTGTGTGTCTAAACCACTTGTAATTCGGTGTTTGGGAGTGTTTATAATGTCTTTCGTCCAAAAGAGGCGCATTTCAATTTTCTCCCATTGACTTATAATGGGGAGGTCGCAAAATTGACCTGACCTTAGGTCATCGATATCAAAATTCTGAGATATACATTTTGTACATACTATTGCTCTTAGCAATCGCTGAAAGTTTCAAAGCGATCGGTCACTCGGTGTAGCTATGACAGACATTGAAACTTTTTATGAGGTGAGGTCACTTCAAGTGACCTGGTGACCTGACCTTGAATGACCTTGGTCTGAAATTTTCACAACTTGTGTAGAATTGATGTATGATAAGGTGTACCAGCATTTTGATTATCCGAAACAACACGCGTCTAAAAGTTCTCCTTTGAGACGCTGATGACGGCGATTTAGCCGAAACGCGTTCGTCTATCATTTTTGTTCCGTGCTATTATACTTGTCTCAACTGAAGTACTATTTGTTTACCTAATTTTCTTTATTGGCCTTGGCCGGTCGTCACCTCACACCATTTCAGGGCAATGAGTTGAGAGGAAGCGATGGAGAAATTGTGCTATGCCGACCACCAAATGGTGCGCCGCAAGCAGCAAC